AACTAAGATTACCAAAAGTTTTTAATAATACGATAGTAATTGCTTTGTGTCAAAACCAAATAAGTGTTGTTTTGTTGCACGTTTAAAATGTTGAGTTGAATTTAAAGTTTTTATATTGTTTGTTAAAAGCAAGTTCCATAACCGCGGCCCTCGGCAAGATATCGAAAAATCAGCTTGTTTTGATAATGTTTTTGGTATAATAAAATTATTTGTTGAGTATTTAGTTTCGTATTTGTGGTTTAAAGAAAAAAAATAAGTTTGGAAAATGCTTGGTAGCATACCATTTTTAAATTTAAACATGAAAATAAGTATATTAAGAATATTTATTTCATAGACATTAGGCACTCCAATTTCTCTTAGTAGTGGTTTGGCACTAGCGTATTTATTTGCATTTAATATCAAGCGAATTGCTCGTTTTTGTATTTTGTAGATCATATTTAACTTTGAAGGATAAGTACTTGCCCAGATAATGTTGCAGTAGCTGATGTAGCTATGAATAAATGCAAAATAAATATTTTTTAAACAATTTGTTACCAAAACTTTATTAAAACTGTTCCCACAGTCAGATAAATATTTATTAAAAGATCTAGCAGATATTTTATGAAAGTATAATCATTTTACTTTTCGTAAAAGTTTTTACAATTTTACACGAAAAATAAAAAAAATTGGTCTTAAGTTATTCTGAAAAAAGATTTTATATATAAAAAACTGTCTACGGAATTTGTCACGTGACTGAAGTACCTATCATTAGGTAAAAATATCAAGACGTAAGTCTCTCCATCATAGATAAAAACATTAAAACATAAGTCTCTCCGTCATAGATAAAAATTTATAAAAAACAACTAAAACTAGTTCATAAGTGATGGTAAAATGATAACAAATTTATCAACAAAATACTACTTATCACGCTTTCAAATTTCAAAAAAGTTGTAAAAATTTATATCAATAAATTCTCAAATATATTGAGACAATATTATTATCTAATGATAATGGTAAATGACACCATCAACTTATCAGCATCTTCAAAAAAGCGCGAGATGTTTTTTCGATATACATCGTTATTGCAATCGGCATATTTTGATTATTCCTTCATTAACAAAGACTCATTTTCTGTTGTGTAATATTAATTAATTGATTTAATAAAAAGAAAAGTACAGTGTAAAAGTAATAATAAAAACCATCATTTTTTATTACACAACACTTGTACCTACCGTTGTTTAAAGTTGTTTATTTAAAGTTACTAACTTTACACAAATTTACGATAAACAACTTATTATTATTATTATAGTTGTAGCCGTAAATTTACATAGAATGTACACATACAGCGAGCAGGGAAAACACCCCACTATAAACAACCAGTTTTATAAATATTTGTTCCAAACTTATTCCACAACCAGGAGTCTAGTCTTTTTTTGAAGGAAAGTACAGTGGAAAGTTATTTGCTCTGGTAGTTCGTTCCAGTATTTTGCTGATCTATTATACAAATGATTATATCTTGGAAGACAGTTTGGAACATACTCACGCCTTATTTTAGAATGGTGACTACGAGACATGGAGTTAATATATTTTGGTAGATATTAATCATTAACTATATCAAAACGATGTATTAATTTAAAATTTTGGATTAAATTGCATCAAGGTGTAAGCCCATTTTGTTGCTTTGCGTTGAACAGATTCAACCAAAACCATATCAGCTTTTAAATAAGGAGCCCAAATGGACACTCCATATTCAAGATGTGGTCTTATAAATACTTTATATAATTTGAGAGCCATTTTTTCATCAATGAAAATGAATGTCTTTTTCAGCATACCAAGAATTTGTAAGGACTTCACTTGAGGTTAGATGTAAAAATGACTCCTAAGTCACGTTCTTTAGTAGAGCTTCTTAGACATTGGTTGATTCCTTGGTTATTTTGCAGAAAGTAATTGTAATGGGGGTTGTTTCGACCGTAATGAATGACGCAGCATTTTGAGGTGTTTAACTTAAGTAACCAAGTGTTTGACCACTCGTATACCAAGCGTAGACGATCCTGCAGATCAACAAAATTAGATTGCGATAAGGTTTTAGAAAAAAGTTTAGTATTATTGGCAAATATCTCAGAAGTTTTAGTGAGTTTTGCAAGATCATTTGTGTAGAGAATGAAGAGGAGTGGGCCGAGAACAGAACCTTGAGAAACACCACTGAGAACATCAACCCATGCATGCATGGGTTGATGTTCTGCATGCAGAGTTGGTATTGTTAATTGTAACGCGTTGCTTTCTGCCTACTAAAAAGGATTTAATCCATTGTAGGAGTTTGCCGTTTATTCCGAAAGATCTTAATTTTAACAAAAGTCTGTTGTGAGGTACAGAATCAAATGCTTTGGCAAAGTCAAAATAGATTACATCAATAAATTGGTGGGATGCTATGGAGGACGAAATGATATCAAAAGTTTCTATTAGGTTAGTTACACATGATTTATGATAAAGGAAGCCATGTTGATTTGCAGAGAGCATTTTATTACCGTTAATGTGCTTTAAAATTTTGTTCTTTACAAGTTTTTTGAAGATTTTACAGGCAACAGATGTTAGTGAAATAGGTCTATAGTTTTCAGCAAGTAATTTATCTCCCTTTTTTTTATAGATCGGACTAATATTTGCTAATTTCCATTGACTGGGTACTACTCCAGAATTAAAGGATTCCTGAAAGATTTTTGTTAATGGAATTGCAAAGCTTTTGGCACATATCTTGAGTATTAAGGGATGCAGGCCGTCAAATCCGAAGGATTTATAAGGGTTTAGATCGGCAAGTTCCTGAATAATATCTGGGATAGAGAAATCCAAGTTTTCATTATAAATGCAGTCAGAATGAATATCACTTTTATTTAGCAAAGGAAAATTTTCAGAGCTTTCAAGTGTAAACATAGATTCAAATTGAGAGTTCAGAAGATCAACTATATCAGGAAGAGCTTCAATAGTTCTGCCAGAAGTATCTTTGAGAGAGCGAATTCGATCTTTAATTTTTAGTTGTTTGTTGATATATTTGTAAACGAGTTTTGGGTTGTTTTGGGATTTTGATATTATTTCTTTTTCATGTGCTTTATTTGCTTTAAATATTTCAGCTTTTACTGAACGATTAAGTCGATTATATTTTAAGCTTACTATTCTCCCATTTGGTAGAGCAGTTAATATGCGGAACAGTTAATATGCGGAACAGTTAATATGCCAAGCAGATTTTTTTTGCTCGGATCAGGTTTTTAATATGTGAGGTAACCCAAGGATCATACTTTTTTTTTGTTTTATTAATCTTGGGAATAAAGTATGTGCAAGCAGTGCGATAGTTAGAAATTATTATATTGAACATTTGATACGCAGTTTTATACAGAAATAAAAACTCCCAGTCGATTGATGCAATAAAGTTAGATATTAAATCGTAATCACCTCTTTTGTAATTAAACGATTGAGATTCACTTTCGATTTACAGTTCTGAAACTAAGAATCTCCTGAAACTAAGAGATAAGTTTAAAATAGAATTACTGTTGTAGGTAAATAACAAGTCCAACATATTATTTGAGGAACCATAATCAGTCTGGAAAGTAGGAAATGTGATATGTTGTGTAAAAAGGCTGTTTTGGAAAATATTCCAGAAATCATACTCGGTAGGATTGTTTGGGTTAAAAGATATAACACCATTGTTAGACCACTTTATATTCGGGAGATTAAAGTCACTGACAATCAAACAGTCATCGTAGGGCTTTTTAATTAAACTATGAGCTAATTTGAAGGATTCAGCGACATATTTTATTAAACTAGCATCATTTGGTCTGTATATACAACCAATAAGTATATGTTTGTTGTTAAATTTTACAGATACCCAGACTTGTTCGAGTAGATTTGTATAAAATTGGATAACTTCATGAGATTTAAATACGTCTGCAATAAAGATAGCTACACCGCCGCCTCGACGTCCGTCTTGACGATCTTTACGATATAGGCTATACCCATCGATATTTGGTACTGAGTCATTTCGAAACCATGTTTCAGAGATAGCAATAACGTGATAATCAAACGTTCTAGATATTAATACTTACACACAAATACGTACATATAAGTATATACATATGTACATATACATATATGTACATATATACGTAAGATAACTTACACACAAATACGTACATATATGTATACGTACATATATGTACAATATGTACATATACGTACAAATATTTACAAATACGTACACATATATACGATAAACAACTTTTCACAACTACCGTTGTGTAAAGTTGTTTATCGTACATATGCCAGTTTTTCCAACTACTTCGCACTTATGTTATTTTCCAACTACTTCGCACTTATGTTACAATGTTTGTAAATTTATTCGGCGCACTTATGCCAGTTTCTGTAACTACTTCGCACTTATGCCAAAGTTTGCAAATTTGTTCATCGCACTTATGCCAGTTCGTACATTCTTTTGGCGCACTTATTCCAGTTTTTGCAGCGCTTTGCACTTATGCCACTTTTACTCGCGTTTAGCATATCAGGATGAGGCGTTGACTTCGTAAACGGTATATCTGTAGTTCGAGAACCGCCTCTTCATGATCTTTTTTTTTTTTACACACGCATACAGCCGTTAATAAAATAGTAATATCATTTATCATATCATTGCAAAATTTGTGTTTTAATAAAATAATATCATTGCAAAATTTGTGTTTTAATAACATAAAAGCTTTGGGTTTTCGTTTTTAAATTTATTTTTAATTTTACTTGTTATGTAAAGCTTTTTTAAATAGTTCTAGCAACAAGACTCTTATTTTAAATAACAGGTTTATATATTGTCATATTGCGATTAACGATTGTCAACTAAAAAAAAAATTTTTTTTATTAAAAAAAGGTTAAAGAACATATTGTTAGGAGTAGTTTATCAATATTTGCGTTTCATTAAAAAAGTAATACTTTATAGAAGTTTGAAAATATACGTTTCCTATTATTAAAAGGATTTTTTTATTAAATACGTGTTGAAATTATAAAGACATCTTAAAAAACGTGTTTACATAATAATACTATTTTTTGAAAGAATATATTTTACTTCAAATTTTTACGAATAAACGAGAGTAAACGAGATACATTAAAAAAATGTGAAAACGTCCGTTTTTCGTCTTTGTACTACCTCTTTCACCTAAATGCTAATTTGCACTCAAAGAAGACCTAATAAGTCTTCGGAAAGATCTTATGAGAGATCAAGGAAGGACTTGAACGGAGATCAAGAAAGGACTTGAACGGAGATAAAGGAAGATTATCTGTATTCTGGATGAAGATCAAGATAGTCTCTAAATAAAATGTTAATGGTATAAGAATAATAAATATATTGGGAAAATTATATAAATTTTTAAAAGTTAAATAACCTTCTGGCTTCTTCAATCATTAAACGTTTTCTTTCTTGAAAAGACATGTGACGAGCAGTTGTTGATTTTCCGAACGTATTACTTTTAACAACCTGAATGTAAAGTTTAGCAAATTATATTGAACATTAAACAGCTATATTTAGGTAAAATGCAAACTTTTACTGCATTTTACCTAATCTTGAATCATGATCTTATTGGTAATTGATGTAATCTTTACTAGACGTTTTTAAAATGATATAACGGAATCTGATTCAATAAAACACTTAGTTAATGTATACACATTAAATTTTGTCTACCACTATTGTCAGTCGCAGTATGTACGCATAATAATATCACTATTGTCAGTCACAGTATGTACGCATAATAATATACAAAACATTAAATTTGTTTTATATTATACTTTTAGTTCTCAAAAAAAGTTCGCAATTTATCTATTAGCCAAATTCATGCAACGGGTACTGATATTTACGTTAGGGAGAGAGAGAGGAGGTTAATAATCCGAAATGGTATATAGTTGGAAAGCAAACAAAATAACAGCGTCTTTCTAATTATTTCCTGAATATTCAACTAATCTATAACTTTGAACATGGATAATGACACACACAGATACAACAATTACACTCAACAACAGTTGCAAATTTCCCCTTGAAAAAAATCTAATCACATTGCAGAAATATGTTCCGCCTCTATTGAATCAGACAAAATATGAAAAAAATCTTTAAAAAATTCGACATAAAATGCTGCAACTAGTATTTTAAATACTACCATCTGTTAAAAAAAATGATATTGTACTTTTTTAAAAATAAAAACATCCTCAAAAATCTTGATACTATCTCATTGAATTGTATTAACAACAATAACTCTTAATTTCTCACCATGATAGACATTTTTCTCTGACACAAGAAACCCTTTCAGTGTCTTGTTTAATTTTTTATGTACTGCTTCATATGTTTGTTGTGACGTAACATTTAAACATTCAATAATTAAATCAAACAAAAAGTAAGAAATAATAACTTGCCAAAAATTATAAAAATAAAATACTCATGTTATGCAAGTCATGTTCTTTTTGCAAATTTGTTTAACTGTTTTATATATGTTATCAAAACTTTTTTATATTAAACTTGGAAATTAATTTTTTGACTAGTCTAAGACTCCCGCTTATGAATTTGGCTAGCTATTCTAGTTTTAGACGAAGTGAAAAAAAAAAAAATTAATATTACACAAAAGCAAAGAAAAAATTCTGAAAACTAAAATAATTATTTTAAATTCTTGTAAGAATTTTAACTTAAAAAACCTTATGAGCTGTAATTTTATCTTGCTGACTTTTTTCAAATTTTTGCTCATCTTCATTAAGAGGCGTATATTTTACAGAACCATCTAGAAGCTGGGTAATAGTTTTATCAACATGCTTTGATGTTTCTGCAAAGAAGAAAGTGTATACTCATTAAACATAATAACTAGTTGGCAAATTTAAAATTAAACAAAAGAGATTTTCAGCCTGTATGTAAAATCATAATGTATTAACATAATATATACATAGTTTACTCAAGTTTAACTATTGGGTTAAGATAACTTATAATAATTTAACTATAGTTTACTTTAAAATAATTGCATATTTAGTTTACTCTAAAATAATAAATGTTTTACACTAAAACATTACTAAGTAAAGTAAACATAACTTACTCAGATTTTCAGATATTACTGTCAAAGGTACTTGAGGCAAAACATTTTTAACTTGTTCAACCATTTTAGCTAAGTCAAAATCCATTTGGCTGTTGTTTGAAGATTTTAACAAACTTTCCATCAATTGGCTTTCGCTTGCTAGGCGTTCCTTTTCTATAAAATTCCTCAATACTTTAAAATTTTTTATGAACTAATTTCCTAATTTTTTTTTGTCATTTTAATCATTTATTCTAATAACATTTAAACTTATTGAAAGAAGAAAAAATTTAAATAAAAAGTCAAACATACAAAAATTATGCAATAAGAGTAATACACAGATATCTAAAATATCTAAAAGAGTAATACATGGATATGCAGTTATGGCAGACAACTGTAGGAATAATTTTTTGAAGAAAATTAAAAGTAAATGAGTTACAAGCTTTTAATTTTTAAGTAAGTTTTTTTCTTATAATTTTTAGAGTTGATTTTGACTGTCGATTATTTCAACTGCAGATAGGAATAAGCATACATTATTAAGTGAACATGTGTTGACATTTTACACTGACTGATTACTAGAAGTAAAGTAAATGTATATATATATATATATATATATATATATATATATATATATATATATATATATATATATATATATATATATATATATATATATATATATATATATATATATATATATATATACATATATATACATATATATACATATATATACATATATATATATATATATATATATATATATATATATATATATATATATATATATATATATATATATACAGGCCCTTTCAGAGGGGGAGCCACATGAGCCATATGGCCTGGGCCTCCGATTTTGTTGGGGCCTCACATTTTCAAAACATATTTGTTAAACACGAAAATAAATATCAAAGTAATTATTTTAATCTAATTATTCTAAACAATTTTCTTTAGGTTAACTTAAATAATAAATTAATTTCTTTTTCATAATTACACATTTCCAAATCTAAATTTGATATGATAAAGATTATGTCATGTAATGATGCAATTAACCCTCCGTCGGGTGCGCTTGATCAAATTGATACAATTACTTTTAACTCATACAAGTTTTTAAGTTATGACTTAGTGTTCTGCTTTTTAGTAGCTTTATTTTTTCTTAAATCTTTTAGTTGTAATTCATCAAACAAGATTAAATCAATTTGTTTTGAACTGTTTCTTATCATTTAGTATAAAATTGATATATTGCGCTTTTGTACATTGCGTTTTGTACGTTACATTTCGTAACTTTGAGAATAGTAATATTTTTTTGTTCTGATAAATATTTTTTAATTTTAAAAAATAATTCGTTTTATAAATTTGTATAAGTTCGATTGATGTATAAATTTATTATATTTTCAAATTTCAATATTATTTAGATTTGATAGTGGTGCAAGTAAAAGGCGGCGGAGAAAAGAACTGGCTAAAGAAGCATGCACCAACTCAAAGAAAATATATTCGTTTTTAAAAAAAATCACAAAACACAGTTCAAGTTGAACAAGCAAACCAAACTCAAAGTGTGAGTGGCAATGGTAACATTGAAAATATAGTTGTTCCAGTTGCAGAAGACCCAATTTTAGAACAACAGCAGGAAATTTAAATATTATAAACCAGGAATGGGTTGAAACCGAAATCTCATTACAGGAAAATGCAGGTGAAAATAAAATTGGAGATATGGAAACAGAAATAACTGATCCGATTCATCAAGGTAATCCGTTCAATTTTATTGACATTGGAATTATCAACAAGAACAATTCTTGTCAAGTGAACTTTTTCTTAACATTACTTGTTTTGAAATTCCAAATAATATCGTTAAAGACTCTAATCATCATGCATTTCTTTGTCGTTTCTTAAACAAAACTCTTGCAAATGGAGAAACATGCAAAAGAGACTGTTTGTTCTGGAGTGTTGAAAAACAATCTTTGTATTGTGCACCATGTTTTCTTTTTAACAAAAATGCTGCAAATGTCTCATTTTTCTCTAGTTCTGCCGGATGGGGCATCAGTAGAGGTTGGAGAAGATTGAAAGATCATATTCCGTCGCACGAAAGTTCAATTTACCATAAAGAAAACTATGTTGTATGGAAATCTGCTAGTAGAGCAGCATTATGTGAAACTTCAGTGGATAATTTACTTTTATCAGAACTCAAGGCTGAAACTGAAAATTGGAAAAAATTATTCTAACGTGTTCTAGATGTTATTATTTTTCTTTCTGAACGTGGATTAGCACTTTTCGGTTCTAACCAATGAATAGGTGATCGAGCGAATGGAAACTTTTTAGGTATTATTGGGCTTCTTAGCAAATATGACCCACTTTTAGCTGAGCATGTTAAACATGTTCGAGAATCACAACAGTGTAAGCAGCGAATGCAAGCTCATTATCTTTCAATGCGAATTCAGAACGAATTTATTGATATTTGAGGTTCACACGTTCAAACAGCAATCATCCACGAAATTGTGAAAGCAAAATATTTTTCAAAATAGTTGATGCTACTCCAGATTGCTTGAACAAGGAGCTGACTACTCTGGTTATTTGTTATGTTAAAATTTTAGATAATTCAAACTTTTCAGTTGAAGAAAGATTTATTTTATTTGAAAATTTTTCAAAAAAAACTGGAAGAGAAATCGCTGCTTGAACACTAGAAATATTGAAAACTTTGAAGCTGGATTTTGAAGCCTGCATTGGTCAAGCTTACGATAACGGTGCTAATATGGCTGGAAAGTATAACGGGGTGCAAGCGGTTTTGATACAACAAAATCCAAACTGTATGTTTTCTAGCTGCGAAAATCACCCATTAAATTTAGTTGGTGTCAATTGCGCTGAATCATGCAAGGAAGCAGTAACATATTTTGGAACAATTCAGCAAATGTACAATTTATTCAGAAGCAGTCCTCAAAGGTGGGAAATTTTAAAACAGCATCTTCCTGTTTCGTTGCATGGAATGTCCAAAACAAGATGGTCAGCACGGATTGATGTTGTTAAATCAGTTGCACAACATTTGAACTCAGTTAGAAGTGCTTTAAATGAACTTGGGGTGCTACATTTAACAGCCCAGGCTAAAATGGAACTCAATGCTATTCAAAAGTATATTTCCAAATTTGATTGCATTTTGATGTCGTCTATCTGGATGAAGCTACTCAGAATGATTCATCAGACAAATCTAATCATCGAAGCACGCCATGCCACTCTTGATATTGAAAAGGATAACATTGAAAATCTATGTAATGACATTCAAAGGTTGCGTGAACAATTTAATAAGATTTTAAATGAGTCAAAATTTGTTGCAGGAAATATTGGTGTTTCATGAGAGTTTTTAACTAATCGTCATTTTCCAAGTCAAGATGATGCTGAGTTGTATTATAAAATCAATGTATATTTTGTCATCATTGACTCAATTAAATCTGGCCTCACGCGACGATTTCAGTCTTTACAAGAAATTTGTAAACTTTTTGGATTTCTCAGGCAGTTTAAAAATTTGAATGACGAAGATCTTGTATTGGCTGCTCAACATTTTCAGCACAAATATGACAAAGAAATATCACAAGAACTTGAAAATGAGGTTTTATTTTTTAAAAGAATCTATGGTGCTAATTTTAAACTTGACCACACACCAAAAAAATTGCTGGAAGAAATACTTGGACTTGGTCTTTCAGGTGTCTTTCCAAACATTACAATTGCATTACGAATTTTTATCAGCTTGCCTGCATCGACGGCTTCGGGCGAACGCACATTTAATGTTTTATAGCAGATAAAAAATTATAATCGTTCAACTATGGGGCAGGAACGGTTGAATGGACTTGCTATGTTGAATATAAATTGCGATATTGCACGAAAACTAGATTTTTCAAATATAATTGCTGCATTTTCAGAACAAAAAGCAAGAATAGCGTGAAAATTAATTAAAACTAATTCATTCTGTTTTACTTTTAGTGAATTTCTTTAGATTTCATTTTCAAAATGTGACATATTTAACTATTCATTTATAGTGACAAATAATTACATATCGAAAAAAAAACAAATAATAAAAACCAACTCATAATTATTTATGCACGAATCATTCATTTGTGAAATCTGAATTGTAACATTCACAATAAAGTAATAGTGTAACATTCCACTCATACATCGTACCTTCTTAATTCCCAGGCCTCCCCAAAATGGGGTTTTTAGTAGACAAGCGCGTCTCTTGGCTAGTTGGCTTGATAAAACGTACAAAAGGCGCCACATCTGTGTGTGACGGTCTGTTTAATTTATTCCATTTAGACTAAAAGTTAGACATTTATCGGGTCTAACTTTAGACATTTATTGGGACCTGATCTATCTGAAGACTTGAATGGCTTTGCATTATCTTGCGTTGCGTTTTGCACAAATTTTTCTTTTGGGGCCTCTCCAAACCTCTGAAAGGCCCTGTATATATATATATATATATATATATATACATATATATATATATATATATATATATATATATATATGTATATGTATATGTATATGTATATGTATATGTCTATGTATATGTATATGTATGTATGTATATATATATATATATATATATATATATATATATATATATATATATATATATATATATATATATATATGTATATATATCATTGCTTAAAATTTGCATGCAATGTCAAATAATGTATTACAACTAGTTTGTCTAGAAATATTTTGATATACTTTTCTTAATTTTTATTTTTAATGAATCTATGGCTTGATTTTGCCATTATGCTGGCATACATATATATCAGATATCGGCATTATTTCTTCATGGACTGGGGGTACCACCACCCAATTTTTTTCCTAGAAAAGGCCTTGTATATATATATATATATATATATATATATATATATATTTATATATATATGGGCAACTCCGCGAAAGTGGCATAACATTTGACGTTTATACAAACTATTAAAAATATACCAAAAATGGAAATGACTTGAAACTTCCCAGAAATGTGGACTAATATAACATAATTTAGTATGCAAAAGTAACAGTATTGAAGTCATAAACTTTTTTTTAAAAATTAACTCTGCGTTGCATGATGGTAGTAATGTTTACTTTTTACCACTTCTGAACAAAACAACTTTGTCAGACTAATTGCAGTGAACAGCATAGTAAAAAAAAAAATCATTTGGTGTGTGTATTTAGCACATATTGATGTTATTATATGCTGAGTTTCATAGTTTTTACTTGATGTTTTATAAGCATTTCTATGTTTTTTTTGTCGTGACGGTGATGGTGACAATTGTAACAAAAAATCTATTTTTAAAAAAACAACGCTATCAAAAAAAAGATGAATAATTATAAAAACCATGTAAACTATGTAAAAGTATAAACTTTATAACATTATTAAAATTTTCAATTATAGTTTTTTGATACTGGGTACGTTAAATTTAAAATAGGCAACTAAAGGAAGGCTGCTATATTTATTTATACTTTATTATTTTACTAAAGTTCAAATGGGTAATGCTTCATGTTCCTAACATAAGTTTATAAAATAATTCTTTCAGAAAAGTAAAATTATCAATTTTAAAACTGTTCAAAAGCTTTGGTTGCAAACTTTCGCTTTATGCTTTGTTGTTTCCTTTTCTTGGTAACTGTCTTCTATGATAACTTCTCTTTCTTTCTTTTTTCAACAACGCTTTTCTGTTTCTTGCTCTATAAGCTTTTGATCTTTCACTACCTGATTTAGACATTTTAAAAATGTAATTAAATATAACAGCTTCCTTTTGAGACATTCTGTTATGATTAAAAAAAAAACAACCCCAAAATTTATAATTAAAAAAACTGCAAAATTAAATGGCCAAAAAGTTTGCAATGCAAACTATAAAAAATGTTTTAACTAAAAAAATATTTTCTTTATCTTAAAAGTTTTTATTTCTCAACAAATATTAATTTCTTTACACTAATTATTTTAAATAAGTCATTTATTTTTTAAAAAAGAAATAATTTCTAATTTTAAATTATTCTAAATTTTTTTAACAAGCTTTGTAGTATTATGAGTAAACGAACTGCAAATGATTTTTAACTTGGTTTCAATAATAAAATCGTTCGCCCTTAAACTTTTTATTTAAATGTCAAGAAGCTGTTATGGATAAACAAACATAGCGTGATGGTCATAACGTACTTTGCTACATCATTATACTATCATCTGAAGCTCTTTTTTAAAAAAAAGTTTAAATGATAATAAAACTTATATCAGTATCTTTACTTTTACTATATTTTTAGTTTTATAAAGTCTAATACAAAGCCTAGAAAAAACTTATTGACTTTTTTCCATGATGGTTGTAATGCATTAATTTGATAATATATTCTTTTTTTATACATGTGCGTTTTTATAAATAATATTCTACATAATGTTTAATATTATCTTTAAGTTAAATTTAAAAGTAATAGTTAAATAAAAACGCAGCACAGAAACCATTTTCAACGCTTCACAACAGGACTATATAAAAATGTCAAAGATTGTTTGCGTAACCCTTACAACTTTAAAACAATGCTATGGTATGATAAAAAAATTTTTTTTAATAACTTTTTTGCTTAAAAGTATTCTTAAATAGCTAAAAAATGAATTTATTGAAGTTAATATATATATATATATATATATATATATATATATATATATATATATATATATATATATATATATATATATATATATATATATATATATATATATATATATATATATATATGTATATATATATTCAGGCTTTCCCAGGAAAGGCATGCGGTTGCACGCCTTGTTTGTCCACGCATAGAATAAATTTTTCAAAAAACGCCTTTCCTGGGAAAGCCTGTATATATATATATATATATATATATATATATATATATATATATATATATATATATATATATATATATATATATATATATATATTTATATATATAAGCATACATTAACAGAATCAACTCTAAAAATAGTAAATTATATATTTTGCCTTCTTCCTCGTGCTTTAATCTTTTGATAAATTCTTTCTTATCTTGTGAAGTGAAATTTGTAGCAGTCACACCAAGTACAAAGGCCATATCCTAAAAAAGTACAAATGCTATATTGTTATAAAATAAAAATTTTATATCCCAAAAAATACACATTATTTATATTAAACTTACAAAATTAAAGTTTATTTAATCAACTTTGTTACTAACTTACATGTTGTATCTTTTTCACAAACGCTTCAAGCTCATCTTTATTTTCTGGAATGAGACAACATGGCATAAAGCTGAAAGTAAATTCATACAATTAAAACATTTAAACTGTTATACAACATAAAATCAAACTTTATATAGTGTTAAAAACATATATTGTTAAAACTTTTTAATTGTGTTAAAGTATAAAAAATATATTCAAGTGAAACTAATTTTAAAATATTTTTGAATACTAAAAAAAAAAATATTTATAGTGTAAACTCAAGCAATATTTTGTTCCAGCAATACTTTGTTTATGCAATACTTTGTTGAATTAAATTTAAGCCTTCAAATTAAATCAGTTACCTTTAAAAAAAATCTAATAATTTCAAAAACAGCTCTGAAGAGGACTAAAAAAAGCTAACTAGCATCATTATGTTAATTATATGATAATTATAATAATTATGCTATAATTATCATTATATGTAATAATAATAAATAATAATACCTAAGAACATAAATAATAAGTAAGATTTGAAAGACATAAAGCTACAATACCTTATATGAAATCGTGTAAAAGGAAAATATAAAACCCAAAACATGTCTGACCAAAAACTACTGTGAATGTAGCTCTAAAAATAATTTGAAAATAAAAAATTAAAGAAATCTATAATTAGTTATAATTTTTTGTTAATTATAGTTAGTTATAATTTTTTATCTATAAAATAAAATTTATTATAATGCAACAAATATATATACATAAATTTATATCAGAATTACTCTGTAAAAATATTAATTTTTTAGGAAATTACCTTTGATATTATCTAATAAAAATTAAAATTCACCCCACCCTAATATATATATAAATAATTATAAAAAAAATAGATACAATGTATCATTCGTTTACTGTATCTGTCACTGCATGCCCTAAAAACTTTTATTCATCTAGTTTTTTTCCTTGCACTACAACCCTTTGGAATTCTCTCCCATCTTTATATTTTCCTGACTCATACAACCTACAACTTATCAAGTCTTCTGTCAATTGTTTCCTTGCTTTTTAACTATATATATATGTATTTTTTTTCTATTAACTCCCAACTTAATAGTGGTTGCTTGCAGCCTTGTTATCAGTGAATCAGAAGTAAAAAAAATATATATCTATTATAATGCTACAAATTATATCTATTAAATATCTATTAAAATATATATTTATTATAATTATACAACATTAAAAAATTTCATAATCAAGATTTTCTTAAACTTCCCAAACCAATATTTACCCTAATCACCCTCCCCAATCAACATTTACTCAAACCATTTTTCTAATTAATGTTTACCAAAACTGCTGTCCCTAACTAATTTTCATCAAACAAAATATGAAATTTTTTAATTGAAATTTTATTTCAATTAAAATCATACATATATTTTTATATAGATACACAGAAAAGGAACATACAACATTGACAGGAAATAACCAAGCTCGCTCAGATAAAATAGCAATCTAAAAGTAGAAAAATATAACTACATAAAACAAAAATAACATATAACAATGTGTCTTTAACAACGAAAAACCTAACACAATTAAAAAAATAAAAATGATTCAATCTAGTCATTTAACTTACAGGTTGTACCAACCCAACTGTAAATTCAAATGGCGTTTTTCTAAAAACAAAAATTATAGTTTTTGACAACTATATGTAAAAACCCTAGTTCCTGAGGTCAAAAACACAAGTATTGCAACATTATATAACACTTAGCTTTATAATTATAATTTACTGCAATATTTACTGTAAAATATAATTATATGGCACTTAGTTTTTATCTTGGTCTCCATACTTAAAATAACTTATACACTTAAAATAAGTAATAAACCTATGACTTATAGCTTATGCACTTAAAATAAGTAATAAACCTACCTAATCACAGGAGTAAGAAAATATTTCTGAGTGAAAAATATTGATTTACCACACATATAAATAAAGTTATAAACACTATTTACAATACTGGCATAAAAAACTTAAATGCGCTACTCAAAAGTTTGTCTGTGACTGGACTCCATAATAGTAGCAGATATTTAATAAGTAAATGTGATAACTCAAGACAAAATTATTGTAAATAAAATGACCTAATAGAAAACTGCTGCATGGCCTATTTAAATTACACAGCCTGATTTGGGCCTAAAATGCTAAAAATCTGTTGCATTTTAAGCCCAAATTAGGTTGTGTAATTTAAGTAGACCATGCAACAGTTTTTTCCTAGTCATTACATTTAACAGATTATGTTTTTGAGTCAATAGCTAATTGTCTTATAAAAGGTATCACATTTCTTTACCTAAATGGTTTTGCAGTGATGTATTGAATAAGAGAATGTTGTACAAAACTATTTGAGAGAGAATATAGTGTTGTACAGAACTATCACACTTTTTATTTCTAAGGCACAGTCTTCATTCGTTTGTAATCTAAAAGGAAATCTTTTACAAATTTACATTTTTTGTTTACAATAAAGATTCTAAACAAAAAAAAAAAAAAAAAAAAATATAAATCAACTAAATATTGAATTATATCTGATAGTATACAAAATGATACAAATGCTGTTTAATGCATGTTTAACAAGAGTTTTAAAAGATATGAAAATGATTTTTAATTAGATTTAAGTCACATGATTTGGATGGCCACTTCAAAACAATTTTTTTATTCTATATAATACTTTTATTTTGAAAAAATGTAAAACCAATTTGGCTGCAAAATTACTGCTGTCTGAGATTTGTGAATACGTTTTCTACTTAAAATAAATCTGTGTTAATTCTGAAAATCTGTTCATTCTTTGTTATTATTACTTACTCCCCATTATACAAAAATATTTTTCAATAGAAATATTTCATATTTCTCTGTGAACTTTCATTGCTCAGTCTAGTTCAAGCACCAAAGGTTACCCTTACATTAAAAAAATTTCTTGTATAAGTTCTTCAAAAGATTTTTCATTTACAATGGTATTTAGAGATTTTTTTATTGTTTTTTGAAATAAAACTTACAGTACTTAGAAAAATAGTACTTACATTAAGAAAAATAGTTTTTTGTTTGAACCTTCTTTATTTTTAAATAAAAATGAGGAAGGTTTGAATAAAAATCTGTGGACATATTTAAACATGCCACCAAAAAAGACATGAAGAATGTTTAAATAAAAAACTGTGTGCATTAGACACTTCAATTAACTTTGGTTATTTTATAAAAATATTGAATACCCCCACGGATATAAAGATATTTTTTTGAAAACCTTATAATATACATTAAATTAAGAGTCTATGAATATGCCTAAAAGTCTATGAATATCTATGAATATGAGGATGTCCCAGACATTTTTTTTTTTCGAAAACAACTAAGTGTACTGTAGCAATCCTCCTTAACGCGTCTCAGAAGTACACCATAAAAATATCTGAATTCTAAGATATTGTTTTGCTAAAGAAAATTTTTAGAAAAAACATTTATATAAATTGCAATGAGATTGCGGAATAATTTTATGATTAAAAGTTTTGCGAGATAGTTCTACAGCCATTTTGAAAAATGGCAGTAGAACTACCTCGCAAAACATTTTAAAATGAAATATCATTAAAAGTAGCATTGACTTTTTTTCCAACTATCTCGCAAATCTTTCAAATTTAAAAAATTAAATGTTAGGATTTCTAAAAAGTATTTACAACAGCTTGGGTATCAAATTTAAAAAACTTTGAAAAGTCAATACTACTTTTAATGTTATTTCATTTTATTTGAAATTGTTTGATCATTAAGTTTTCTGGAGATAAAGTTTATCCACTGCTAAAACTGCTTTTAAAGTTTCTGGAGATAAAATTTATCCACTGCTATGTTTTTCACAGAAGTGTGAAGGAGACATTTTTATGAACAATGTTGTTCATAAAAATGTCTCCTTCAAGCCAGTTCTAGTAAAACTGAGCTTTGCTTATGACTAAACCTGACATAGAAAGTCGTCCTGCATTTGTAAAAATTGCATCAAAATCTTTCCCTTCTCATCCAATCATTCCCTATTCATCCAATATTTTGATTAACAAACTTTTTTGATTGTGCCTATGATCAATAGTTAGAATGCCAACCCGTTCTATTTCTGCATCAATATTTACCAAGAATGCAAATCTCAATTTGATTTTTTACCTGAAATATTATGAAATAGAATTTTCCCATTAAAATGTGCCATTTTAGGAAAAATAGCTTTACTGACAAAAATTTAAACATTTTCTTGTTGAGCTCTCATGAATATCTTTGAGCTTGCCAAATAGGTGATTGAGACAATAAAAAATAAGTGACATTTTACATGAATTTTTTAGGGCAACACAGACACTGTGGATTAGGGTGTCCCAAAAAACAACATTTTTGAAAATAATCTGCTCTCACCCCCCTAAATGTGTTTTATCTAATACAAAAACACTAGGTTTAAATTTTTTTTGAATAAAAAATATTTTAAGGGGTCCCTCAAGACCCTCGAATATTTAATGGATCCCTAATATTTTCAAAAAAAAAGTTTTTCAAAAATATGTCAACCTGGTACTCAAATGAAGCGAAATTATATAAATATTTCAAAAATAATATTCATTTCAAAATATTTTTAACTTATTTATAAAAATTATCATAAAAAAACATTAGAAATGCATTTTTTTCATTTTTTCTTAAAAAACGCAATTTTTTATGTAATAAAACCAAAAATAACAATTTTGTTTCGAAATGTTTATTTTTAAAATTTTTATATAATTTCGCTTAATTTGAGTACCAGGTTGACATATTTTAAAAAAAACTTTTTTTTCAAAAATATTAGGGACCTATTAAATATTCGAGGGTCTAGAGGGACCCCTTAAAATATTTTTTATTCAAAAAAAATTTTAACCTATTGTTTATGCATTAGATAGAACACATTTAGGGGGTAAGAGCATATTATTTTCATAAAATGTTGTTTTTTGGAACACCCTACTGTGGATACATTTATTTTACTGTCAATAAAAAGAAATTTTATTCAACCAAAGTTAATCAGATAAACCACATTATTTAAATGCTACAAACCAAGGTGTAATAAACCATATTATAGTTATTTCAAATCCTACAAACCTAGGTGTAAACACATTATAGCTATTTTAAATGCTACAAACCTAGGCGTAATATTAACTAACAATAAAAAGATGATACAGATCAGTGTGGTATTCAATATTAAACCTTAAAAATATACTCTTTAATAAGTTCAAAAATTTATTAAAATTTTATAAGTGCAAAAAAATTATATATTCAAGCCCGTATACAATTGAAAAGAGTAAAAAAATTATAGAATAAATTTGAAGGCCCCCACCAGGTGTTTGAAACACCTAACATATTTTACCTGAAATTAGGCTAACAGGAATCCTAAAAATTATCAAAAAGTAATTTTTTTTTTTAAATCAAAATTATTTTTATACAAATTGACAAATTTTTCAATTTTATTGTTTAGTTACTTAGCAAGAAAATGTTAGAATTGCATTTAAACTCAATAAACTAAGAAATAAACAAAAGGACATGAAAATTGTTTCTTTAAAGTGTAAATCATAAATATATATAAAAAGTAAATAGTTAAAATCTAATATATATTCACCAATGTCACTGATTTCCTGTTAGAGTAACGCTGACATAATGTTTATTTATTAATCATGCGGAAGTTATTTTATTTTAAAGTATTTAAAAAACATTACGCGTCAAAACAATTTTTTTAAATATAAACTTTATTACATGATTGAGTTACTATATTGAGTAACTTGGAAAGAGAAAGATAAAATAAGTTGAAGAAGCAGTAATTAAGAAACTTGCAATTGCTCTGGATGTCACCGAATCCGATCTTATTGCACCAAACCACAATAAAGTTCTAAAGGAAATTCAAACCAAAGCTGGCGATTTAGACTTCCTTGTTGAATGCATGAAAGAAAAACTTTAAGTCTCTAACAAAAGGCAGCAACTTCAAATTTTGACATTGACCCCAAAATCTTGGTCTATCAGAAAAGCAGCAAAAGAGTTTTCAGTTTCCAAGCACAAAATCCAAAATGCAAAACTTTTATGTGACCAAAAAGGCATCATAGCATACCCTAATGTGGTTGAACTACATCAAATCAGTAAAGATGTTACTGAACTTTTAAAGCTTTTTTACTGTGACGGCGAGTATTCAAAGCAAATACAAGGTAAAAAAGACTGTGCAAGTGTTGGGAAAAAAAAATACATGTCAAAAAATTGATTTCGTGTAACTTAAAGGAGCTCAATGTGGCATATATAGACCATATACAGACCATACAGACCATATACAGACCATATACAGACCATAGATACAGACCATAAAAATGGATTTTCTAAATTTTGCAGTCTTCAGCCTAAATAGTGCATCCTTGCTGGTCCAAAAGGTACACATTCTGTTTGTGTGTGTACAATACACCAAAATTTTCAATTAATGTTGAGTGCTGTAGGCCTTGAAACGAATTACCATGAAATCATTGAAAGGAATGTCTGCAGCAGAAAATTGAAAGCTTGCATGATTCACCAATGCAATAGTTGTCCTGACATACAAGCTACCCAAAGTTATTTGCACAGTTATCTCACACAAAATGATGATCCAAAAAAGCAATATGACAGTGACAAAAATGAACAGTCAGTGGATTTCAAACAGTGGACATTGACAGATAGGACCGAACTATTAACAATAGAACTTCCTTTAAATGAATTCAAAGAGCTCCTGTGTGAAAAACTTACTTCTCATTCATTTTTAGCAAAATCACAATCTAGCTATCTAAAGCATCTCAAAGAAACAATTAGTATTGATGAGGCTATTGAACTAGCAGATTTTGCAGAGAATTACACTTTTGCAGTACAAGACGAGATACAGAGTTACCATTGGAGCAAGAGTCAATGTTCTTATCATCCAGTTGTCATCTACTACAAGAAAGTGAAATTGGAAATATCACTTTCTTGTAGTAGATCTTCTTTTTGTGTAATTTCAGATGATTTGAATCATGATGTTGGATTTATCAATGAAGTTATGCATAAAACCATTAATCATATAAAAACTTATCTTTGTCCCGCAATTACAAAAATTCATTATTTTTCTGATGGCTGTGCAGGGCAGTATAAAAATTGTAAACTTTTTTACAATTTGTTACCATGCTCAAGATTTTTCTGTTTGTTGCATCTGGAATTTCTTTATAACAAGCCATGGTAAATCTCCATGCGATGGAAAAGGTGGCACTGTTATAAAGTTTGTTGCAACTGTTAGCTTGCAGAGTCCAACCACAGGTCAAATACTATCTTCTAAAGCAATGTTTGAATACTGTCAAAAGTCAATTAGTGGGATTACATTTGTGTACCCTGCCAAAGAGATGGAGCTGGTGAGAATCAAGCTAAGTAATAGACTTTTAATAGCAACCACTATTCACATGGGACAAGAAGTTTCCATCAATTTATACCTTTTTCTCATTCAACTATAAAAATAAAAAGGTATGATGATTTTGCTCTAACATTTGACTTCAATAAACAAAAATATGAAATTAATAAATTTGACAATGTTATGATGTCACAATACCTATTTTGCAAATACCACGATTTTTATTGGCTTGGTAAGGTTTTTGAATTTGATAAAGAGAATGATGATTTTATGGTAAAGTTTATGCATCCACATTATCCAAGTCAGTCGTACTACTGGACAAAACGAGATGATAATTGTTGGGTGCCAAAAATGAATGTCATTTCTCTTGCCAAAACGCCATCAATATCTTCTGGTCGTGAAACTCTATTTGAACAGCTTTTACTCTGTCAGTGAAAATAATGAATATTTTACTTTCTTTATTTAAACAATACAAACTTAAATTTTAGTAATATTTGGTTATTTCTTTTTATTTTTATTTTTGAGCTTTTTTCAATAAAGTAGATTTTTTACTATTTTTTTCAAAGAAGTTTGCATTTTAGTTTCTTATTTTTTTAACACAGTATTAGAGCATGCAATCTAATATTTTGAAACAATACTTAACAGACATTAAGTAATAATGTTAAGTTAAACTATTATAATTAACATAGAAATTATATTTTCAATGTGTTGTATAGTAAATTATATTTCCACTTTTGGAAGTATTGATTATAAATATGCAAGTTATGCAAAGCAATATAATTTTTTTATTTTCTTTCAGAGACCTAAACTTTTCTAAAACCTCTTATTTCATAATGAGAGTAAGGCAACTCCAGAAATAAGTGAAATGTAAACCACGGTTATGCAACAAAAAACTTGAGTGCTGATATTTTAAAACTAAAAAATTATTCTCAAATATTAAGAATTAGGTTAATTTCTCTTCATCTTTGTATTCAATATCTTTAAAATTGGTCAGGTATCAATTTTCAATCATATTTCTCCATTAGAACTGAAATTATTCACACAAAAAGTATGGAGAATAGAGACTACAAAAAGATTTTTTTTGTCTAAATTTCAAAATGACATATCTTTACAATGCTTTAAGAAACCAAAACCATCTTTTTTATAAAGATAACCTAGAATCACCTACTTCATTTGAAAAAAAAAATTGAATCCATGAAACTTGGGCAGCTCTGGGAATTAATTAAAGCGCATCACATGGTAACAGAACAAAAAATTTGACTGACCATTTTAAAATAAAAAAATAACCATCAAAAAATTTAAATTTCACTATTTTCTTTACATTTTTGAATTCAGCATCCTCCAAAATGGTCAGGTACAAATTTTTAGCCACAATATTTCACAATATTTAGTCACAATATTTATCACAATATTTTATCACAATATTAGTCACAATTATTCATTCAATAGTACAACTACAAAATTTATAATGGTGGACTTGACAAAAAATGGAACATTTTAGGCTGAATTTCAAAACGTCATAACTTTTGAACGATTTAGATTTGGGAGCTCAAATTTTATATTTTTTCATGTTTTATTGTTAAGTACCACTGGGTAAAATTAAAAAAAAATTACAAGAGGTGACTGAAAATACTGTCCCAGTTTTTAATGGAATTACCCTACTAGTAAATAATTATATATTAATAATATTAATATAATAAAAGACATGACGGTTAATAAATAGTTAAGTAATTTAGTTAATAAATAACTTAAATGTGTGTAACATGTGTTGCTCTTAAAAAAAGGCGTTATTGCTATGCACTTAATATAATTTAAAAAGAAATTCTTTAATGGAATTTTTTAACTTAGAATTTTGTAAGTTTTAACATTTGTTTTCAGTCATTTAAATTTTTATTTTTAATTCTTTTTCACTTTTAAACACTCATTAGGTATGCATAATATATATAAGATTTATTTGCATTAAACAGCTTCACTTCACTTCTAAAAATAAATATAATTTAAAATTGCATAAAAGGTTGTTAAAAACAAGTGCCATGGGTGCCCATGAATTTTCAAGTATTAAAATAAACAAACAAAAAAATTATAATTATTAAAAATTACAAGAACTTGAGCAATCCTTTATCTGAACAAGCAATATCACCTTCTGCAAAGTATGAGAATGGAATACTTGAAGCTATAAGCATAAATTATTTTAATTTCTTTAAACTTTTTCCAATTGATATATATATATATATATATATATATATATATATATATATATATATATATATATATATATATATATATATATATATATATATATACATATATATATGATAAACATTTAAGCTTTTTTAACAACAATATCAACAGCAACAACCTTAATAACAACTGTAATAAAATAATAACAATTGAAATATTAATATAAATGTAATAATTGTAATGATAAAATACAGGCCTAAACCATGAAAATTTTTAGGAGAGTAACTTTTGAAAAAAAAGACAGTTTAGAATAGTAAATAAAAATCTTGCTCAATTTTTAAAATAAAACTTGCATAAGGAGTAAAAGGAGTTGGTAAAAAAGGGTGTCAATCACACACAATGCCCCCTAACCCCCCATACAAACACACATAGGTACAGGCATAAAATAATACTATAAACGACAAAGTAATAATTGCAACAATATTAAAAAAAAAATTCAATAAAAATAAATAAATATTGTAATATTTATTTTCAAAAAATAAGAAATATCATTTTCTTTAGAAATTTTTTTAAAAAACTTTGTAAAAAAAACCTTCTAAAAATTCTTTGAACTCAGATTTCATTGACAATTTGAAACCTTTATATCCCATCAGCCAATTAAATAAAGTTGGCAAATTTGATTCACTTGAAATCTAAAGTAAAATAAAATTTGATTGGCTTGAAATCTAAAGTAAAACAAGTAATTGAATAGTTAAACCTTTTTTTTTTTTTTTTGACTGAAAAGAAATAAAACTGCAAGTTTTTAACATACACGAACTGTTGGAATAATTGCTTCAATTGCTATACTATCCAAACATGAAATATGATTAGAAACAATTACCTAAAACAAAAAACTTTAAAATATAAAAATAAAATAATAGAAATAAGGAGAAGGTAAAACAGGGGATAAAATTTTTTTGTTAACTCTGCATTTAAAATCGTTACTAATGATTTTAAATGTCACAAGTAGATAGTAATGAACCATAATAATACTAATTTTTTTTAGCATTGTTATTTATATTTTTAAATTAATTTTATTTGGTTATACTTTTAAATTAATTTTATTACATTTTTTTTTCATTGCAATATTTTTTCATTTTTGTTTGTAAAACACACTTTTTTTGTTTATAAAACGCATATATTTTTTTCCAAATTATATTTTTAAAAAAACTAACTGAGCAGCTAATATGAAGAACTTTTAATTTAATTGGTGTAGAAAAAAGTAACTTTACACTGAACCACATGTTAGCTTAATCAAATAAAAAAGATGGACTTCTTTTATGCATTTGTGAAACTTGTTTAGTTTAGGTAAAGAAGTCAATCTGTTCTTCTTTATCTATTTTGATAAAGCTCATAAGGTTGGAAAAGTTAAAGAAAATTCAATATAAAGAATGTCAAAATAATAAATGTTTTAGAATTGTCAAACAAAATTAAATCTCAAAACAATTTAAAGATATTTATTCAGTTGGAGGAAAATAATTAAACTCAGGTTAAAACATTGTCAACAAAGGTAATGCTGTCTTCACCCTAAAATAGTATTTTCGGAAATTTCTAGAATAACAGCTAGGTAAAGAGAGATATTAGATATTTTCTCTAAATATTGTTGTAATTAAATATATAATTATAAATATAAAAGTATATACATCAAAGTTTATAAATAACGTTTTAACAAACCTTTGCACCATTATTTCTGTGATTAGAATTACTAGATGTAACAACAAGGCCCATGAAAAAACAATATGTTCGCATTAATATTCTAAAATAAAAATTTTAACTTAATGAATACATAATTTAATTTAACTAGAGGTAGAATTTATAACAAGTTAATTTTAATTCTTTTTGTGATTACTGTCATTTTATAAGCACTTTTTAAAAAACAACAAAAAATTACCTTCTAACCATCCAATGTTTAGGTAATAATGATAACAAGAATAAATATTGAAATGAAATCAATATGCGTAATGCAAATAGAACTAATCCAATAGGAATATAAATCAAGAAAAATATTGCAGTACATGGCCCAAAACTTGAAAATCTAAGAAATAAATTTTTATCATAAATACGCACTTGTTTAAATCTCAAAAAAAAATCTTTATAATGAACTAAAATTTTTTTTGAAATTCTTATCTAACATTACATTTGTCATTTAGTCATTTTATTTATAAACTTTTTTTATGAAAATTTTTGCTTTTTAAATTTAAAAACTGTTTATGTTTAAATCAATTTCAGATTCATGTTTTTTCTTATCAAGTTAAGTCTTATTAAGAAGAGAGTTCTAGATTCCAAAGGTAATTTTATAGGAAAATTAATAATAAAAAATGAAAAACCTTTGATTTAAAAAAAAAATTGATGTCAAAAAGTAAAATAATCTTAAATCAATCATCATTTTAAATCATCTTGAAGTCCTATCTAAGAGCAAGTTCAAGCAATAAAAATATTCTCAAAAGAGAAAAGCACTAAAAGATTTTTAAAGAGCCCATTTTAAAGATAGAATACAATATAAATATTTTTTGTATATAGCAATAAAGCATATCCTAATAATGATATAAAATTAATTTATTATTATTTAAAATGATATTCCAGGCCTTGCGATGAATAAGAACTGCGCGACGCATAAGCACGACGCGATTTTTGACGTCATTAAATTCTTTTTATTTGCTTTTCATATTTATCGACATTAACTGCACCAATTTATTTAATTACCGCAAAACTACTTTAAATCGTTTATGTAGAAATGTTATTATTTAAAAATGTTTTGGAATGTTTCGTTTTTTAAAATGTAAAAACATTTGTTTATTTTCTCGACGTTTGTCACGTTTTGTCTATACTAAACGAATAAAAAACATTATAACTTAAATTTAAAAAAGATTATAAAATATGCTAATATTTGATTTTTTTTTTCTTAAATATGTAATTTAAAGTTTTTCAAATAATTATTTTTTCTTTTTAAAAAGTCAGCGAGTAATAAACTGGAAATTTTAATATTGTACGATTAAAAACTGTGCAATAGCTAATATTTTTACAAGCGATTTTATATAATATTTATTTATTTATTTTTATTTATTTTCATAAAGCGGTTGATAAGCACAATCACTCGTATTAATAAAAAACTTAAACGAACGTTTTGAATAGATTTTTAATGTTAACAAGGAATTTTATTTCTATTAAAATAAAATAAAATGTTAGAATAAAAATCTTATAGGTATAAAAGAAATATTTCAGCGAAAAAATTATTCTTAAAAATTATTCCTAAAAATTATTCGAAAAACTATTGACGTTCTATTTTTCAGCAGCTGTTCTTGAGCACGCTTCGATGAGTTTCGGTAACTTTTAACATAAAAGCGATCGTTATTATTTAAGTAATTTTTTTGAGTTACTTTTTACAAAAATTTTAATAACTGTACTTTTTTTATTGAATCAAGTAGAATACGTTTTAATATTATTCCTTTTTTTTTATTTTATTTGCGCTCACCAATTTTTAAAATGTTTCCTCGAAATCACTCTTAAATACTTTAAATACGTCTAACAGTTAATAAATATTTTTAAATCTATGGAATAATTTTAAAACCTATCAAACCCCTGTAAAATAATTATTTAAGTTTAAAATCTAAAACTAAAAGAAAGTATTTTTGTTCAATTTTATCGACAACGTTGCTATTGCTGAATAATTTTATTAAAATGTTAGCTTAAAAGATTTAAACTTTTTTTTTAATTTTTGAATTTTTTCTACTTGTAAATAATGAGCATATTTAATTTTTTTAAATTCAAACTTTTATTTCAACTGCGTGCGGTTTTTAAAATACTTTATTAAATGTTAAAATAATCGTAAATTACTTCATTAAAATTCCGCTCAAAAATATCTTTAAATATACTCAAACAAAAAATTTTTTGCTCGACGCAAATAGCCCTAGCTACACGCAAAATCGCTCTTGGACGACGTAAAATTCACATCGCCCGACGCTTTTTCGCAAGGCCTGATATTCCAAATATTACATACATTAAAAATTCTAAACACTTATTATTAAGAAAAAATAAACATTTTTTTACTACACCTTTTCAAGATGTAAATGAGAACATGAAAGTTGTAATTAATAAGTCGTAATATGTAATTAAGAAACACAACATGTAATTGAGTAAACGTTATATGTAATTGAGAAACACAACATGTAAATAAGAAGTCGTAACATGTAATTAAGAAACACAACATGTAATTGAGAAAACGTAAGATATAATTGAGAAATCATAATATGTAATTGAGAAATCGTAACTTGTAATTGAGAACACATAAATTAAAATAGCAAATTCACAGTCTAAGTTTGTAGGTTGTTACAAAAGGTCTTTTTGGACATGAATTTAAGTTATAATCTTAAATTTTGCTTTTGTATGCACAAGTAATAATAATGGAATTGAAAGATCGTTGTGTTATATGCCAATACACTATGACCCGAAAGTCTGTGATTAAGCTAAATCCGTGTCAACATTTATGTCACCAAATTTGTTTACGTCCAGTTCTGGAACAACCAGATTCAAGTTGTCCGATTTGTCGGCATGAAATACACACAACTGAACAAGTTGAAAGGAAACGTTACGTTTTATCTTCTCCAAATGACAGGAGAAGAGTTGTTGAATGTGCGGAGCGATTTGAAGATTGGGTGAATCTCGTGCAAATGCTAGGTATCAAATATAAGACAGCATACAATTGGGTTCGCAGCGGAAATTCAAATTTCATCGGAAAAGGAGGTTTTAAACCGAAAAAGTTGACCGAAGATCAAATCGAAGAAACATTAACATGGATTGAAAATGATTGTCAATTAACATTGGTGGCCATCAAAACAAAGATATTAAGACAATTTAACATAAACGTTAGCACAACAACAATAGCAAATTACCTCGAAAGCAGATTGTTCTCATTAAAAAAAGTGCACAAGGAGCCTTCTACAATGAACAGTTATGAAAACAAACAAAAAAGAGCTGAATATGTTAGAAACATCAACGAACATATCACAAATGGTCGTCAGATAGTTTGGTTGGATGAAACAAATTTTAACCTTTTTTGTAGAAAAATGCAAGGACGCGCGAGACAAGGAAAAAGAGCAATTTTGAAAGTACCTGCTTCAAAAGGTTTAAACATACACTTGATCGCAGCTATTTCAACTACAAATGTCGTCATGATAGAAACTCGTAGGGGATCATTTAAAGCAGATTCCTGTAGCGAGTGGATGTTGGCTATGTTTCACCAGTGGGTTACATACGGGAATCGTTTGGAGGATTTGGTCGTCGTAACAGATAATGCTCCTTGTCACGCTCGTTTGCAAAGGGTGTTTGATAATTCACCAGCTCAGTTGTTACGTTTGGGACCTTACAGTCCAATGTTGAACCCGGTGGAAACGATCTGGTCCAAAATTAAAAGTAACGTTAAAAATACAATTCGCATTCCACCTGTATTAGGTGACGGGATTGCGGAACAGCGCATGCAGTACTTAGAATGAATTGTAATTGAGGCAAAAAATACTATAATGGGAGGAGATTGTGCACGTGCGGTACAACACACAACCACGCACTATGCAACTATTTTAAATATGGAAGACATACAAGTTGGTGCTTAAATGATCAATGAAGTGATTTTTAATTATATAATTTTTAATTATAATTTTTAATTGAATTATAAATTTTTCCCAAAAATGTTTTTAGTGTTTATTATGTTAAATTCATTTGCCCAAAAATTATAAATTTTCCCCTAAAAAATTAAATTTACGCTACAAATCTTGCGTCATTTTTAAGTGCGTCATTTTATACACTCCATTTTTTTACGCGCCATTTTTTTTAAGCGCCATTTTACACTTACTCCTTCAAAGCGATATCTAAATTAAAATTTTCGTGTTCTCAATTACATCTTTCTGTTTCTTAATTACAACTTTCTCTTACTTAATTACATTTTCTCAATTACATGTTACGATTCTTAATTACAATTTTCGTTTTCTAAATTACATCTTATGTTTCTTAATTACAACTTACGTTTTCTCAATTACATCTTACGTTTCTTAATTACAACTTTTGTTTTCTCAATTACATCTTACGATTCTTAATTACAATTTTTGTTTTCTCAATTACATCTTGAAAAGGTGTAGTTAGGAAAAAACTATTGTCATCTTTTACTACTGACAATTATTTTCCCTAATGTTACTTTTTGGTTTAACTTTTAAATGCAATCTACATCAAACAAATGATCTATACAAATGTCAACAGTTTATTTATCTACACGATTTTAAAATACATACAAATCTTCCAGTAAATAAAAAAAGCAGCAACAGATGTATCAACAGCTCATTGATTTTTTAGATTTTTAGCTCATTACATTCCTACCCCAAAACACCCTGTGGCTGTTCCTTAAGAAATTTAATTCAAACAAGTTATTATGATAGCTTTGCTAATCAAAATAAGTTAACAATTTTTAAAAAATTCTGTAAAGGTTTGGGTATATATAATATTTATTATCAAATTCAGTGATTTTTGTAAGCTAGGTAAAAATTTTAAAAATTTTACTTTTTATTAACTAGCTTACAAAAAAATTTTAAAAAGTTAAAATTCATAAATAACTAGTAACGAGCGCAGAGCCATGTAAATTTCTTTATTCATTTTAAGTTAAATTATTTTAAAAGACATTTATTTTTTAAAAAGAAAAGTGATGTTAGCATTGTATTAAATTCTATTATTACTTTTAACTTTGCTTCTTATATAGTAACACATCAATCTTACAAAGATTTATCATTTTGAATAACATTTCATATGACTAAAATTGTTAAAAAAAGTTTTAAATGTCACAAAAAAATAAAATCTTTAAAAAACAGTTAAACAATCATCAAACCATTGTTTTGTAAAAAAATGAGACATAGCAAATGAGACATATAAAAAAATGAGACATAGCAAATGAGACATAAAAAAATGAGACATAGCATAATAAAAATTTTAAAAAAAGATCATACTTTAAAAAACTATTCAAAATAAAATTTTGAGTACAGCAAGAACAAATAGAAAAGAGAATATTTAGTTTGATCATTTGAAAAAAAAAAAGTCTTATAATACTAAAAATATAGCCCACACAAAAAAACAAAGAGAAATAATAAATATAATTGTGGGAAACCTCAGAACAATTTTCTAGGATAAGCCCTAGTTCAGTTCAATCAACTATATTGTGGTTTACTAGAGCTAAAACAATTTTAAGCAGGAAATCTATGGATACAAATTTAAATTTGCCAGTTTTGTATCAGAAAAATTTAAGACAAACTTTTTTACCATTTATAAGTTTTATAAATTGTCTATTAATTGAGCAACTGTTGATCAACTCACTTAATTAGGGACCTTTGCAGGAATTAATTAATTTCTTTGTTGACCAACAAAAGTAACTAGTGCCTGTTATAGTAAATCCAATATAAGAAAAATTTTCAACTGCAAAATAGAAAATAATGTAAAAACCAATTTGTTTAATTATTTATTAATTTTTTTAATTAATTAATTTAATTATTAGGTTGTTAAATATTTACTTGAACATATATGTAAATGCTACTAATAAATTAAATATATATATTTAAAATCTTTTTAAAATAATTTAGAAAAGTAGATAAAAGATTTCAACTGTTTTGAAAGTAAATAAAAACAGCTGAAGTCATTTCATTTTGATATAAAAAAAGTAAAATAAAACAACAACCAAAAAATTTGATAAACCTTTAATAAAAATTTTATAAATTTTTATAAATTTTATGTCGCTATTTTCATTGATTCATAATAGAATGTGTCATAAAAGAATAGTTTAAAGAAAACTTAAATCCTATTTGGTTATTTTTTTAAATTTTCTTAAATCCTATTTAGTTATTTTTACTTAAATCCTATTTGGTTATTTTAGTTATTATATAAATCCTATTTAGTTATTTATATTTTGGTTAAATTGGTTTTGATATCTAAATGATTTTAAAGGCTGACTCAAAAGGTTTCTTAGAACCATCAGAAAATTAAAAACTTTTAACACAAAAAGCAATAAAATTAAGGAGAATTTTATTAATCTGCTTGCATGTAACTGCCTCAAATAAAAAGTTTAATTATCATTTATTAATATTTTATATATACATAATGTTTAATTTTTTATTTTTAATAATTTTTTTACGGGACAAGATAGAGCAATTCTATGAAGTTTGTCTAAAATTCTTTTTCAAAGACCTCTACAAAGTTAAACTTAATCAAAATAATAATAACAATAATAATAATAACTACATATATATTGTATTTAAAAGCGATAAAATAGTTAAAAAGTTTCACATTTTTGCTTTAAAAAATTATTAAGTATAACTATTTATTTAATAATAATAATAAAAATATTCTAAAAATTTTAAATATTTATCAAATAGTAAAATATTCCAAACAAAAAACTAAATAACAACGAATCGAGAAACTTTTGCAGTTTCCACATAATTGATTTATAATATAAAAAAAGTAATTAATACTTGAAGTTATTGATTTTTCAAAAAAATGGAAAAAATCTTTATTTTAGCTGTTTTTTTAAGTTGTTAGACTAGTAGAATCATTAAATTAACCAAGTTACCTTTTCAGGTTAAACAATTCAGATATAGCAAGTGACATAATTATAAACTTTTAGTGGTAAACTTTTAAAACATTAGTTATGTTAATGTAACATCTTATTTTCTAACTTAACAAATAGTACGAGCTATATTTACAAGTAATCCAACTCATCGTGTTTTGTTGTTGTTCCATGCATCCTAACACGAAAACAAATATTCCTTTCGCTTTTGGTAACCTAACATCTACGACGGAGTTAAAACGCCAAGTACATTGGTAACCTAACATCTACGACGAAGTTAAAATGTTATTACATAATGATGTCGTAACGTAATGGTATTATTACAACATCATGTACGTTGCACAAAATACAACATCATGTTGCTTAGCTCCTTACTACATTTTTTTATGTAAGTATAGAATAGAACTATTATGATATAAATATAGTAAGGAGATTTATCTTTATTCGACCTAATGGCCCCCAACGAAACAACAGTTTTAGTGACCGTTAAAAAAACCATGTTTAAGTATATATATATATATATATATATATATATATATATATATATATATATATATATATATATATATATATATATATATATATATATATATATATATATATATATATATATATACACACACACACATATATATATATATATATATATATATATATATATATATATATATATATATATATATATATATATATATATATATATATATATATATATGTGTGTCCTTCAAGTTTAACTTCTTTAGAAGTAGTTTTAGCAATTTGTGTTTATTTTTTGTTACTTTAATTAGAGTTATTGGCAGTTTTTAAAATTTTATAAAATTATATATATATATATATATATATATATATATATATATATATATATATATATATATATATATATATATATATATATATATATATATATATATATTAGGGTGCATCAAACGCCCCATACTTTCAAAAATTGATCTGTCTCTATTCTTAAAACTTTCTATTGGTACTCACAAGACACTCTGTTAAATTTTTTCAAAATTGAATGAGATTTAGGGGGCTACCTCAAATCTGAAACTTGCGACGAGACCCTAAACAGAAGAAAAAAAAGTTTTTCAAATGTATGTTATGTTGGGTCTCAAAAGAAGCGAAACTTTATAAAAATTTCAAAAACAGTTATAATTTTTTGTTAAAAATAGCTTGAAAAAATTTTTTGATCAAAAACCATGAAAAAATGTTTTTTTTTTAATTTTTTGCTAAAAATTAATTTTTATGCAAAAAAAAAACTTATAAAAATAAATATTATGTAAAATTTTTATTGTTATTGAAATTTCGCTTCTTTTGAGACCCAACATGACATACATTTGAAAAACATTTTTTTCCTCTGTTTAGGGTCTCGTCGCAAGTTTCAGATTTGAGGTGGCCCCCTAAATCTCATTCAATTTTGAAAAAATTTAACAGAGTGTCTTGTGAGTACCAATAGAAAGTTTTAAGAATAGGGACAGATCAATTTTTGAAAGTATGGGGCGTTTGATGCACCCTTATATATATATATATATATATATATATATATATATATATATATATATATATATATATATATATATATATATATACATACATATATATATATATATATATATATATATATATATATATATATATATATATATATATATATATATATATATATATATATATATATATATATAATATATATATATATATATATATATATATATATGTATATATGCCCCGATTAACCAAGCGCTTACACCTAAGCGCTTACACCTAAGCGTTAGAGACACATTGCTATTGCAGGAAAATATTTTGCATGGTTTATGTTTTTTTATAAAAAAAATAAGACTTACATTAGTTATATACGTTCTTTATTTATCTACTCATATGTATAATTTCTCTGGCAGCGTAGACATTATTTTAATAAAAATCATGTTTTTGTTGATTTTGAAATATTTTAAGAAATGGACTTGTATATATCCTTTTCGAAATGACATGTTTAAATGTGTATCAGTGTCAGGATCTTTGGTTACAGCATTGGTTAAACTAGATTCTACCCAAGTAGCAAACAATATCGGCTCAATATTGGCACGATATCTTGGCCAAGATTAGTCAAGATTTACAATACTGCGCCAATATTAGCAAACAATTTTGCACCAATATTAACATATCAAATTGTCGAATGTTCATAATGTCATATAGTTTTGTCCTTTAATGTCCACAGTACTTTTAATTTAACATCTATAGATTGAATCACGAGAAGAAGTAGTTATATTTTGTTTTGAAACAGATTGTATCACGAAAAGAAGGGTTAAGAAATCCTTTTAATTGAAAATGTACGGAATGTATCACGAGAAGAAATGGTTGTGATCAATTTAAAATAGACTGCATCACGAGAAAAAGTGGAAAAACATTGCTTTGTTATAAGTATCAAGATTGAACTAGTAGGTTTACATAAGAAACATTTTGAGTTGATTACATCTCTAAGGTATACCTTTTAAAGTCTATTTATTTTGTTAAAGATGTTTAATGAAGTAGTGAATACGTTATATATTTTAACATATACTGAATTTGTAAATTAATACATTTTAAATAAGGTATATTTAAATCTAGCTTTAGATTTATCAAATTGTTATTTCTAATCTAGTTTCTTTATTTTTTTAACTGTTTTAAGGCTTTAAACTTGTGTATAACCAATTACAACTTTTATAATATACTATAAAAATAGGTACCCCTGCTTGACATCTAATAATCTCAGTCTTCTGGTAGTGGGGAAAAAGGAATTTGTTACAATTAGATGCAATATTATTACCATTTTTTCTCGTGATATACTCCGTACATTTTCAATTAAAAGGATTTCTTAACTTTTACCTTTCTACTTGTAATACAATCTGTTTCAAAATAAAATAAAACTCGTGGTTCAATTTGTAGATGTTAAATTAAAAGTACTGTGGACATTAAAAGACAAAACTATAGGACAATATGAACATTCGATAATTTTAGGCATGCGTACCATTATGTAAAAATGTCAATATTGGCAAATGATTGATTTCTGTCATAAATGTAAATGTTTTATAAAGTGATAACAACACAGGGAATTACTTATAAGGTAATATTTTAAACCTTTTTTTTTTAAATATGTATTTATAATTTAAAATTATTTGATTTTTTAATATTTTTAAAATATTTTTACTTCAATATTAAGTGGGCAATAAAATCTTTGAGTTGAAAAGTTCTTGAATAATTTTTTTAAATTAAATTTTGTTTGCTATGTTTATTATGATAATATTATGATAGTGTGCATATAACTTATAACTTATACTTATAATTTATACTTAAAACATATAACTTATAATTTATATTATATAAACATATAATTTAAAGTATATATAATCAAAACATATATAAAGTATGATATTTCATTTCTATTTTGATTATTTATACTATATATAAATAATTTATATTTATATATTATTTAATAATACTATAATTAAATAGAAAAGATTAAGCATTGGTATATAATAGTTAGAGAATGTTTGTGTGTACACACACATATACACACACAGATATATATATATATATATATATATATATATATATATATATATATATATATATATATATATATATATATATATATATATATATATATATATATATATATATATATTAATGATATTATTCCCAGTGTTATTATCACTTTATAAAACATTTACATTTATGACAGAAATCATTCTTGATCAGCAAAACAGGTTGACCTCAGGTATTGCATCTATTTGTAACAAGTTGCTTTTTCTCTTGCATAATGACATATTTAAATGTTTAAAAAAAATTAAATTGATAAAAATTTTAATTGAGCTTAAATATATTTTTGGGAAAACAAGAATTCTAATCAAGCCAGATAGCAAATGTCACGACTTCATCTTCGTTTTTTCAGTAATCTAATTATTTCTTATGTTTTTCCATACATGAAAATAATCATAAAGTAAAAAAAAATTATCTTTAGTCAACTATGGTTTTTCTACAACAGTTTCAAAGAAAGAGGAAAGCTTAACATTGACTTTATTATTGTCACATAGAATTGCAACACAGCTTCCATTTGCATTTGAAGCTGATCTAAGTATAAAAATAACTACTTCATACTGAAAATCTGAATTAAGGTAACGTATCAAAACTATTCAAACTATAAAATTATAAAAACCAAAAAAACCAAAAAGACATTTAATCATAACAGCTAATATTGTTTTTGCTAACTTGTCGAGTTGATTAACAGATTTTCAAAAAAGTTCTCCACCATGCTAAGTTAATGAAGATTTAACATACACTACTCTTATATAAAAGTACTGTCGTTGGCGATCTGTAAGTTTGCTAAATGCACATAGAACAAATTTGTCATTGTTTAGGTTAAAAGCTTTTGATGTCGATTTTTGTAGTGAGAAACACTGGGAAGCTGATTTTCATTTCAGATTCGTTTATAAAGTGCTTCTGAAACAGCAAAATATTTGAAAGCACAAATAATAGTGCCTGTTAAAAAAGCGATGTATCTCCAATACTTAAGATTTTCATAAAAAATAAACTACCTATAAGAACTTGTTTTTTTCTCAATAATTTGACATTAGTTAAAAACCTTATAGCTTCAAACAAATTAAACTATTTGTTTAAAATAGTAAAACGGTTTCTTTTGACAAACTTGTTATATAACATAAGTATCCACAATGATACGTCTTATATTTTAAATTAAAAGAAAGATTGAGTATAATCCTAATAAAAAATGCAGATAAAAAAAATCAGTAAAATTATTTTTTTAAACAATTTATAAGATAATAACTTTAACAAAATTTACATTACCTACGTACATTACTTAGGTTACCTAGGTAGACCACAGTAAAATTTACATTACCTAAGTAGACCACAGTAAAGTTTACATTACCTAGGTAGACCACAGTAAAATTTACATTACCTAGATAGACCACAGTAAAATTTACATTACCTAGGTAAACCACAAAAAAATTCAGTTAATTGAAAACTAGTTTTTTCATCGCATTTATAAGTAACTATTAATTTTAGTAAATCTTTTGGTTTTTTTTTGTAAAGTCTAATCACATCGTTAAAGTGCAAATTGTTTATGGCTGTAAACATTTCAAGTTGATTAGTTTGCACATTTTTTGAACTGAAAGTAGCTGAAGATGTAGTCCTTGA